TGCATGGCAGTGAAGAACGCAAGAACTACTAGTAGTTTTTTTTTTTATGTTATGTTAATCACCATACATTACATCCTTAGTTTTTGATGTAGTGTTCCATGATTCATCGTTTGTGTATAACACCCAGTGCTCCATTCAATACGTGCCCTCTTTAATACCCATCACCAGGCTAACCCATCCACCCACCGCCCTCCCCTCTAGAACCCTCAGTTTGTTTCTCAGAGTCCATAGTCTCTCATGGTTTGTCTCCCCCTCCAATTTCCCCGCCTTCATTTTTCCCTTCCTACTATCTTCTTCTTTTTTTTTTTTAACATATAATATATTATTTGTTTCAGAGGTACAGGTCTGTGATTCAATAGTCTTACACAATTCACACGCTCACCATAGCACATACCCTCCCCAATGTCTATCACCCAGCCACCCCATGCCTCCCACCCCCCACCACTCCAGCACACTCTGGAAAACAGTATGGAGGTTCCTCAAAAAGTTGAAAAAAGAGCTACCATACAACCCAGCAATTGCACTGCTGGGTATTTACCCCAAAGATACAAATGTAGGGATCCGAAGGGGTACATGCACTCGATGTTTATAGCAGCAGTGTCCACGATAGCCCAACTATGGAAAGAGCCAAGATGTCCATCAGACAGATGAATGGATAATGAAGATGTGGTGTACATATACTATGGAATATTATGCAGCCATCAAAAGGAATGAAATCTTGCCATTTGCAATGACGTGGATGGAACTGGAGGGTATTATGCTGAGCAAAATAAGTCAATCAGAGAAAGACATGTATCATATGATCTCACTGATATGAGGAATTCTTAATCTCAAGAACTACTAGTAGTTTGATGTCGCTGCCTTCTTAGGTTCATGCGAAGCCACCACGGTTTTATTTATCATTCCTTTTGCACCATCAGTGCACATGTCAACACACTTATTCCAGGATAAACCACTGAATTCAGAAGGATTATTCAACATTTTGCATATTTCACTTGCATTCTTGCTAATCATTCACAGACAAGGAGATCTTCTTTCAATAGCTGGTACTGATACTATTCGACAAATCCAAGCAAAACTGCATGACCAACAATATCTGTAGATGTGAGCATTTGTAAGGCAGAAGTACAACTCTGCAGATGTGTTACTGAGTCTTCATGTTTGCAGCTACATCTTGAATTCAACAAGTTATTTTATTATTGGAAAGTGTTACAATTTTATTTACTAATTTTTCAACCAGTGCAAGTTATTGCAAATAGGACATTGAGGTCTTAGACTTCAGGATATGTATTCATTGATGTCAACTTATTAGTTTCTAGGCTTTTGTGTGCATTACTCTAGCCAACGCAATATGATAACCTACTCTATATGATGCTTCACTGACTTTTTCATTTGGAGTTTGAAAAGCTGTAACAAAGAATATTTTTTTTTGGCTTTAAAGAGCTCATCATATACACATTCAAAATGTATATGTATTTCTTTTTCTTTAAACTCTGAGCAATTGGTCTTAAGATGCCTCAACTTAACTGGCACCATAATACTGTTTTAAAAATGTGCAGTTCACCATTGCTCTTTCTTTCTGAGATTTACATCTGAGTATTATCCTCTGCCTCATTTGTATCCTGTACCTGGTGACAGCTACTTTGGGCACAATGCCATGCATCTTGTCGTTTGGGGTTTTAGTTCTTTCCTGATTTATTGAAAATAGTATTTGGGTTTTTGTCACTTGTTTTTTGTGTTGTTTTGGGATGATTTCTAGGAGAAGAGGTCATGCCAATATTATATGGACACCTTTGCTGGAAGTCACCACAAAAATATTTTATTGTATTATAACATAAATATGGAAAATCACACAAATCATGAAAATACAGTTTCATTCATTGTCTAAAGGAAATGCCCATATAACCATCATGGGTCAAAACTAGAACAAATCTAGTACCCTACAAGTCTACATCATACCCCCTTCTGCTGCCTACCAACCCCCTCTTTTTCCCAGCTTTATTGAGATATAACTGACATAAAACAATGTGTAAGTTTAAGGTGCACAATGTAATGATTTATATATGTATACATTGCAGAATAATTACCACAGTAAGGTTAGTCAACACATCCTAATTAATGTCCCTGCTTTCTGATTTCTAACACCTGGATTAGTTTTGTCAGCTTTTGATTTTTGTGTAAGTGAAATTATATAGTCTATATTCTTTTGTATCAGTCTTCTTTTGTTCAACACTATGTTTGTGTAGTTCATTCTTTTGATGGACATAATAACAATTTCTTATCCATTCTATTGTTGATAAATATTTGGGGGTTATCAGGAATGATGCTTCTATGAATACACTTGTATATGACATTTTTGTGTACAGATGTACACATTTTTATGTATATACCAAGGAATAGAATTGCTGGGTCATAAGTATATATATTTTCAACTTAGAAGTTCTCCAAAGGGGTTTGAACTTAAATTTTACCTTGATGACTAAGAAGGTAGGATACTATTATATATAGCATTGGCTTTTGTTTAGTCTTTTTTGGGAACTCCTTATTCAAGAATCATGCCCAGTTTTCTTGGGAGTTTTCTGTATTTTTCTTAGAAATATGGAGAGATTCTTTCAATATTCTGGATATGACCATTTTATAGAGTATGTGTGTTGCAAATATCTTTTACCCCCATTCTGCTAGTGGTACTTTTGATTATACAAAGTTCATAATTTTAATGTTGTCCAATTTATAAATCTTTTATGGTTTATGCTTTTTGTGTTAAGTTTTAGAAATCTTTTTCTATGCAAAAGTCATAAAGATACCCTCTTATCTTTACCATTTTTTTTTACTTTTCACATTTAGATCTACAATTCGTCTAGAATCTATTCTTGTATATGGTGTGAGACTGAAGTCAAGATTAATTTTTTCCATATGATATACAATTAACCCAGAACCATGTATTAAAAAGACCAACCTTCTTCACAACATTGCAGTGTCACATCTGTTATAAATCAAATGCCCAAATATGTGGAGTGAGAGAGAAAGGGAAAGGGAAAGGCAGAAGGAGAGCAAAAGAGAGAGAGAATATGATCTTATATTTATCTCATCAGAGAAATAAATATAAGAATATTTTGCAAGACCACAAGGAGAGATGAGTGTTCACATTGAAAAGGCCTACTACATAACAAGCAGAATGAATAAAAAAGACCTAGGCCTAGGTGCAGAATGAAATTTTTAGTCACCACAAATAACGAGGAGTTCATTAAAAGCATTATAGAGTAGGAAAGATGGTCAAACACAAGAATGAATATTTGACCAGCATCCGGCTTCTCCCCAGCAATAATGGATACTAGAAAGCAGTAGAATAAGGCTTTTAAAGTTTTAAGGAAAACTGAGTTTCAACCAAAGTCATATATTTAGCTAAACAATCAGTCAAGCATGAGATCCTTGTAAGGACTCAACTGGTTTTCTTTTGGTGAACTTTTATTTAATTTTTATTTTTTTATTTTTAAGATTTTATTTATTTATTTGACAGAGAGAGACACAGCGAGAGAGGGAACACAAGCAGGGGGAGTGGGAGAGGGAGAAGCAGACTTCCCACTGAGCAGAGAGCCCAATGCAGGGCTTGATCCCAGGACCCTGGGATCATGACCTGAGCTGAAGGCAGATGCTTAATGACTGAGCCACCCAGGAGCCCCTTGGTGAACTTTTTAAAGTAAGTTACTAGCAAATGTACCTCAGCACACAAAGGTTACAAAGAAAAAAAGTATGTAAGATAGGAAAAAGAAAGAGAGAAAGAAGGAAGGAAGGAAAGGAGGAAGGAAATGGGATTAGGGAGAGGTTTGCACAGTATTCTAAAAGTACTGGGAATATTGTGTTTGCTAAACTGTTGGTAAGAGCATGGGGATTCATCTTATTATTCAAGAAAACATACATAGACCATTAACCATATAAGATTCTATTCATCTTTCTTCTTTTCCTTCCCAGAAGCAGCCATTATTCTAATAAAATACTGTATATTTGTGTGTGTGTGTGTACACATAAATAATACAAAATAGTACACTGAGTTTTTTTGAAATTTATACAAATGGTGGTATATTCTATGTATCATCAGGAATCTGCTTGTAACTTGGTATATGTTGTCATGATCTATCCAGGATCTTACCATGCTCATTTTAAAGATGAGAAAATTAAAACCCAAGAAGTCAAAAGCCCAGAGAGACCTACGGTGCAGAGAGGTTCAAGGTCACACACCTGTGAGAAGTACATCTGGAATTTGAACTGACACTACACTATATACTTTCTGCGTTATAGATCTAATTAATTCATTTTGCATGCCATCAAATGAATAGACTTTGTTTATTTTTCTAAGTTTCCTTTTTTTTATATTACAACAATGGTGTCATGAATGTCTTCCACAAGAGTCCTCGTACACATATACCACTTATATGAGTATCTGCATTTTTAATTGTATAAAATTCTGCCAAATTGCTTTCCAAAGAAGTTGCTCTCACAAGTAGTTTATGAAGATACCAGTTTCCTCACATTATTATCACTATTTATTATTTTCAGATTTTAGTATCTATCAATTACTGAGGGATGGGAAATGATATTTCATTTTAATTTGCATTTTTCTGATTTTTAGTGAGCTAAAATTTTGGTTTTTTGGGCCTCCTTTTCTATGAGTTGACTGTTGAAATTCTTTGCCCACTTTTCTGTTGGACTCTGAGTTTCTCTTTATTGATTGGTGCAAGGTGTTATACATATTCAAGAAAAACAATTCATATGTGTTCTAAATATTTTTTCTCAGTCAGTGGTTTGTTTTTAACTTTGTGTTTGGTGTCTTTTGTGATACAGAACTGTTTTTTTAATCAAATGTAGTCCCATGTGTCAGTCTTTCTTTTATGGGTTGTGCTTTTTTTTTTTTTTCCCTCGTGTGGTTATTTTTCAAGGAAAGCATAATATTTGTCTTACAAACATTTTTTCACTTACTGTTATTATTATTTTTTTACTTTTAGATAACTACCAAGTGGTCTTCCCCACTGCCAATACATGCTTGTATCAAACTGACGGCATGTGTGACAACACAGATGCTAGAAAAAAACCTCAGACTAAAGTGGATATTACATGGATTCTTCTATTGCGCTACTATATTCATCTGCAAAGGATTAATAATATGAGCAAACTGCTGGGTAGGTTTTTGATGTGTTAAAAAAATCACATTCTTTTCCAGTTCTTGTTAAGTCATGTTTCTTATTTGGAATTTTAAAATACTATTGATATCTTTTGGAGTGAACTCTCATCAGAATATGAAAATTGTAGGGGCTCATAACCTGAGATACACAGATCTTTGGGTGGAATAGTATTTCAACAAAGCTAACTTCCTTTGACATTTTATATATTTTATTTCATGTATTTAAAAATGTTACTGTAAGGATGCATCCAGAGCCTTCCCAAGACTGCCAAAGTGGCCCATGGCTCAAAACAGTTAAGAATCAGAGTGATCACAATGTGACAGCTTATAAAATGAACAGGATGAAATTTTGACTTTAAGGAGAGAATGTTCCAGTATTTAGTATGTAAGAGGACAAATACATGACTTCAGATAAGATATGTAACTCCACTGAGTTTTGTTTTATTTAGTTTTTTGTTGTATCATCAGTGCCGTCTGAAGAACATCCAGAAAAACTGGTATAATCTGCTTCATGTTAGTCCCTCTTGTGTTTGTGACGATGTATGTTGTATTTTATCTGCCCCCATGAAATTGGTGATTTCGTGTTGTTCATCAGTGCAAATAGTCGGAAAAGACAGTTTGACCCATGTCAGGGCCCAGTGATGGAGAAGCCGGTAGGGCAAGTAGGCTGAGTCACAGAGTGAGTGACTAAGCAGGGCTACCAGGAGTTATCGTGGGATAGACAAACATTCAGAGAGGTGTCAGCTATAAAACGTTCATCATGAGAAGGGCAAGAATAAAAGAAGTTCGATAGCAAAGGATGTGGACATGAGCCAGTACAGCACACTCTGGCAGTGCCGGCCCCATATCAGCTCAGCTCACCTTTGAATTCACCTGCTGGCACCTGCCACGTCACGTGCCCACACTTTTCTGCTTTTCTGCCCTGGGCTCTTCCTGAAACTGCTGAGACTTGCTCGGCCCACTCTCAGGACAGCCCAAAGTGCCAGGGATTCCTCACGTACTTATGAGGTAGGAAACTGGTAGAAAACATTCCAGCTTCCCGGTCCCAGACAGTTCTACGTTATTTTTCAGAAGGTCCTCAGCAGGACTGAGCCCTGATTATCCAGAGCTACAGCCCATCCATTAACTCATTCTGTTGGCTCTTTTCTCCATCACACTTTGTTCGTTTTCTCACTTATGCTCCTTGAGATCATTTTTCAAATAAATGACCTGCACCTAAGTTCTTGCTTTAAGATCTTTGTCGGGGTAAGTGCCAGATAAGATGACTACATAGAATATTTTGCATTGTCAAGACTTAGAACCTAAAGCAATATCCTCACACCCTTCTGAAATTTTCTTCATTCCTGTGGCAAGAAGCAGTTCCATTAGTGAATAAGCTTAAAAAGAGAGGAATTACACTGGCAGCCACTAGCTGAGGTGTGTGATTTACAGGGAGAACAGCTAATGAGCAAATACCAACAATACTGAGACTGTTCTGTTATCTAACATGACTCTAAAGTAACATATTTTTCTTCCCTAAGCATCTCCAAAGCCAGGATCTGGAATTTCATTGCCAGATGATACACTTCTCACGTCCCTTTTCAACTCTGGGCTGATTTTGCGCCAAAAAGAAATGCATTTTTTCCTTAAAAGATTTTTACAGCTCTATTCTTCCTCTTGTATTGATGAATTTCCAAAAGAACTATGTAAAGGATTGGAAAATACACTTTTTTCAGAAAAAATCTCATATGATTCAGTCAAGGTACTGTTTTCAAACATTATATATTTTTGTAAAACTTAGAATCATTGTTATATTTCTGAAGGAAGCACATTTGAGAAAACTCAAGTGGATGTGGTGTATTGTAAATTTCTAATATGTATTTATAAAATGAATAAATCAATCATTTGCACGGAATTCTTTCCAAACAAAAAAAATCAGTCATTTATTTTGAATTATCTTGACTTTGGACTTCACCATATATTGCTTTCATTTTTTTGATGTAGACTTGCCCATACCAGACATGTCCATATTTCTAAGCCCAGAGAAGTGACCTGAAAATGTCACTTCTTCCAAATTGAGAACCTTTGCTTATCTTATCCTTCTAGATTGTTGGATAGATAATAATATTTTTTTTAAGTCACTCTTGAACAAAAGAGTGAGGTGACTAGTAATAAATTGTGATTTTAAAAAGTAGTGGGAATACCTACTAAGATAATTTAAGAATTCATTTATTTTTTAAAGATTTTATTTATTTATGTGACAGAGAGAGACACAGCAAGAGAGGGAACACAAGCAGGGGGAGTGGGAGGGGAAGAAGCAGACTCCCCACAGAGCAGGGAGCCCGATGTGGGGCTCGATCCCAGGACCCTGGGATAATGACCTGAGCTGAAGGTAGATGCTTAATGTCTAAGCCACCCAGGCGCCCCTAAGAATTCATTTAAAGAAGTGATTCTAAGGGAGATTTAGGGAGTTGCTCTCAGGGCAGTGTATTAGAATCCACATGGGAGGATTTTTTGAGTTAGTTCCCAGATACTGGGATATCGGTATGCCCAATACTAACACCCCTATTTCTTGCCCAGATTATAAATCATTTGAGAAATAAAAGAGTTCAAGAATTTGGGATTAAAAAAATACCCACCCTTATGAGTCAAAATGTTGACATTGCAGGATATGGTTTATATTTACTGGCAAATGGTCTTCTGAAAAGCAAATAGCAAAGTAGACAGATTTTGACAGTTCAGCTGTGTTTGTTTGTTTGGTTGTTGGTTTGGTCCTTAGAGGACCCCTTAAAATCTGTGTGGACACAGACTCCTTTAGAATCTGTCTCATGGGGGCGCCTGGGTGGCTCAGTCCTTGAGCATCTGCCTTCGGCTCAGGTCATGATCCCAGGGTCCTGGGATCGAGCCCCGCATCGGGCTCCCTGCTCAGCAGGGAGCCTGCATCTCCCTGTCTGCCGCTCCCCCTGAGCGTGTGCTCTCAATCTCTCTCTCTCTGACAAGTAAATAAAATAAAAAAAAAATAAAAAAAATAAACTGTCTCATGAAGGAGGCAGCAGGAGTGGGATGAAATCATTTCCATCTAACACCAGATCCGATTCCCCCTCTAGAAACTGTGACTCCCTTTGAGGATTGCTGCCAACTGTCCCAGATGCCTCCGGTATTCTGGCACAAGAGGCAGAGAATGAGAAGGTGAACTATGGTTCTGTGAATGTATTCTTGTGACTATTTTGTATGAGTTTGGAAACTAATAGGTGTGATTTCTTAATATTCCGAAAGGAGCTCTGCTTGAGTATTTTAGTATTAAGGGCAGCCTACCATTACCCATTTTCTAAGCGTGATGCTCCGAACGTAGAACCTTGAATATGTTGTAAATATATGCGACACTTCTAATGGCAGCAATGTTATCGGAGATCGTTGTACCCTGTTTGCTCCTTTTTTTTTTTTTTTTTTTTTTTTTTTTTAATATGATTAGTGTAACACTTCTCCAGAATAATCGGCTCTGGGGATCACTGTCGCTTGCCTGACAGGTGCAAGCCACCTAATCATCTGTTCATTTCACTGGGGTAGATAGCTAACGAGCATAGAGCCTTTTGGATTTTTAAAAAAAATAAACTGCAAGCTTGGCTGATTTTTATAATAACGTTTTTGAGCTTTTAATCACTCAGGAGGCTATTTCAATCAAACTCTTTCCATAAATTGATACTTAATCCTGCTTTTCCTCCACAAAGAGGTAGATGTCTTTCCAGAGCGATCATTGCTAGGGACCAGGCTCATCAGTGTGTGCGTCTGCATATCGTTAGGTCTATTGAAGCTCTGTGATGGAAAAACAAAGGTGCCAAACAAATTACATTAAAAATTCTTAAAATTATGCACAATCTGGGTTATTCGTGTTTAGACTTGTCGTAAGGTCAAATATTTGACTAGTGTAAAGTGATTTGTTGTTTATAAGACTGTGGCAAACAAGACTTCTCTCAGTAGGTCTGTTGTTTCATTCCTTTCAAAGAATAAATCAGACATATCGAAAATATTCAGTGTATGATCCATCAGTTGGCATATATGCTTAATTCCATTAGCAACTAAATTTTATGTTTTTTTAAAGATAATGGAAAATTAAATGCCTGTTTTGATATTGACTTTTGTGACAATTTACCATTATTAGACCATCATGTTAATAAATGCTATATATATTGAAATAGTAAATATTTGCTTATTATTTTTCTCTGCTTAGTTATTAAATATGAATTCTTGCTAAAATAGTTGTCAGAACCTCTGAAAGGCACTCAGATATGAAAAAAATTAAATTCCAAAATTATTTTTGGAATCAGTTATTTACCTGAATTTTTGGTGAACTGCCTGGCATAGAATTAATCTTAGTTTAGCACTTTTAAATGATTATTTAAACCTAATAGTCTTGTTTATTGTTTATTTTGGTCATGTTTTTAGTATCATAGTGCTAATAAATGAGGATTCTGGCTTAAAATATCCTTTTATGATGATAGTCTCTAGACATTTTTGAAAAGTTTTCATCTTTAATATTACCTTTCAGTCATGACATATTTTTTCTCTTATCAGTAGACAACTTGAAAGGTCAGTGTCTTTATTTCTCTTTTTATTTTATTTTGAAGACTCTCATTGACAGTCTTATATTGTATCTTGAATAAGCTCAGAAATAATGGGAGGTACAAAGCCATACAGAAACACCAGGCATTTCTTACTGGCCACTTACATGTTCCCCTTCATCATCAAGCCTTAAGATACGTTAGATGTCAAAAGTTCAACAGAAGAATTGCTTCCCAGCTACCATACTATAATCTTGGGAATAACAAGTTAATTTTGAAAATACTTTGCACTCCATTAAAGAAGGTTCTTTTCAGATTTGAGGTATTATTATCACTATTATTATCTCTCTGGCTAGACTGTTATTTTTTTATAGCAATCATGCTTTGCTTTCTGAGCTACTTTTAAAAAACCGAATAATTTGCAAAATTGCCAATTGCATTCCACACATTTATGTTTCCTGGAAACTCCTGATTCAGGGACCTGGTTCCATCAAAGCTAGGCCCAGATTCACCAAGACTGAGTTAACAAATCAGCCACGTTCATGTAAAGAGGGAATGAGAGCGATTGATTTTAAATATTTTACAGCAAAAACTATCTTAATTTGCATATGATACAGAAAAAAACTGCTGTTGGAAAGTAGATATTATTTATAATCATACCCTCAGTTTATTCACCACTGAATAAACAAGAAAAAAAGATATTCTTAGAATCTGAGGCGATCTTGAGACTGAAATGATAATATTGACATTTTTCCTCTCTAGATCTTTACTCTGGGAAAGTCACCAAAGTGGAAGACATTTGTTGAATTCCATGGTTTTTTTGTTTTTTGTTTTCTTCTTTTTTAAAAGATTTATTTATTTATTTAGAGAGAGCATGAGCAGAAGAGGGAAAGAGAGAGAGAGAGAGAATCTCAAGCAGACTTTGCACTGATCTCAGAGCCCAACGCAAGGCTTGATCTCACGACCCTGAGATTATGACCTGAGCTGAAACCGAGTTGGACACCTAACCAACTGCACCACCCAGGCACCCTGAGTCCCATGGGTTTTGAAGCATATTTTTCTGTAGTAGAATCTTCTCTGGTAATTGGGGACAGTTTTAAAAGCTACACTCATAAAACGAACTAAGACAATTCCCAGAGTTTTATAATGTAGCCAATACTGAATGGATATTGAGTGAATGTTTTAAATATTGCATGAATTTATTACCAGCAATTAAACTGTTTTTGATTTGTCCCTAGTTATGTCATGACAGTTCTCTACACTCTGATTTATCATTAAATAAGCTCTCTGCCAGCCCATCTTCTGGAGATGTGTCATCAGTTATGAAGATACAAGATTTAAACAAAGAACTTTGCTTTCAGTGGTACATTCCTCCTCTAGAAAGACCTCCAAAGGACACAGAACCTATGGTATGTAATATAATCACAAAGCTAAATCTTATATTTAGATGTAAAGTTTAACTTGACCATTATAACTTGAAAATAGAGAACAACCCCTTGTCAAATAGATGAAAATACACAGCAATATAGAATCTATATTGTCTAGTAGAATGAGTCTGAAAATAACTAAGAAATCAGGTAAAGTCTGACTTGAGTTGATAATTTTTCCTTTTTCCTGATCTTCAAGGGAAACTTTCCAATGTGTCACCATAATATAGGATGTTCAACTTTTTTTTGAAGCCATTCCTTATCACATTAAGGAAGTTTTTTTCTACTGTCCACTTTACTAAGAATTTTTATCAAAATCTTTTGTTGTGTCTATTAAGATTATTTTATAATTTTTTAAAAATATAGTAATTGATTTTTTAAATATTAATCAGTCGTCTGTTCCTGAGATAAACTCAAATTGATCATATATTTTATTGGTTTCAGTTTATTAAGGTTTTGTGTTGGATTTTTGCCACTGTTTAAGGGTAATATTGAGTTACAAATTTTCATTTTTTTACTATCTTTGTCAGATATATTTTGTATTAAGATTTTGTTAGACTTAGAAAGTGAGTTGATAAATATAACCCTGTTTTTCTATTTTCTGGTGACATTTCTGTAAGTTTAGAGTAAACTTTTCTTCTCAAATATTTGGTAAGAATTCATCAGTAAAGCCGTCTGACCCTAGTGTTTTCTTTGTGAAAAAATAAAAAATTAGTAATATAATTCTCAATAGTTTGAGGCAGTCATTAAGCAGTAGTACTCATTTACTAGATGCCAGAGTTGGTATCAGTTCTGATTGGGTCAGTATCTGTTCTAATATGGTTAGTACCCATGTCAAGCCAAGTTTTAAATATTTTGACTATCACCCCTATTTATAGAACATTGGAGTTTACTGTTTCTTCTTGAGTCAGGTTTGTTTAAGTTGCTTTACCTAGGAGTTTTTTCATTTTATTTAAAACTTCTCTCATACTTTTAATCTCTCCATTGTATTGGTATTGAAGTGTCCCTTTTCATTTCTTACATTGGTTGTTTGTGTATTTTTTCTTGATCATTGTCACCAGAGGTTTCTAATCAGTTTTATTTCACTAATCCATATATCTTTCTTCTACTTTGTTTTTGTTTTGTTTTGTATTCTTTTTCTTACTGCTGACTTCTTGAGATACATGTTTGGCTTAATATTTAGTCCTTTCTTTCCTAATGTATGCATTTGAAGACTCTGAGTTTCACTAAACATTGCTTTGGTTTCATCCCACAAGTTTTTATTATAGTATTATCATTATCATTCAGTTAAAAATAATTTTAAAGTTTTTGTTACAATTTATTCTTTGACTCATGGGCCATTTCAACATGTGTTTTTTACATTCCAAACTACATAGAACTTATATATATTTTATACATTGTATTAGAAAAGTATCTTTTGTTATTTATTCTTAGATTATGTTGTTCTGTGATAATAAAAAAATGCTCTGTATGATTGATATTGTTGAAACCTGCATATTTTCTCCAGGAAAGGATTTATTGTGTAAATATTCCATTGCTCTTAAAAGAAATGTGTAGTCCTCAGTTGCTAAGGCAGTATTCATATATATACCCAATAGGTCAGTTTGGTTAGTCTTGTTCAAATCTTTATTCTTGTTTGTTTGCCTCTAATTTTTTAAAATCAGTTATTAAAAGAAGTATATTTAAATCTCTCGCAATGATTGTCATTGTTTAGTCTGTCAAATTTTGCTTTATATAATTTGAGACTGTGTTCTTAGGTGCAAATTAACTGTTGTATCTTCTTGGTGAACTGAGCATTTTATCATTTTGAAATGACTCGTGGCCTTTTTGTAATAATGTTTTTCTCCTCATAAAGTCTGCTTTGTTTGATATTACTAGAGGAAAATGACTTTCTTGTGGCTATTTTCACAGTGTATCTTTTTCCAACCTTTTGCTTTCAACCCTTTTGTGTACGTGTATTTTATGTTTTTATCAAAGGCATGCATTTGGATATTTTCAAATATAGTCTGACAACATTGTATTTTGACTGGGGAATTTAATACATTTACATTTAATGTAAATGCTAATATATTTGGTTTGAAATCTATCATGTTCTTTTGTGTTTTTACTTGTCTGAGCTCTTCTGTTTTTCTCTTTTCCCTTCTTTTGGATTATTTTTATCATTTTCCTCTATGAGTTTTGAAATTATGTGCTTTTTTTCAATGCTTTTATTGGTTACCTGCAGGACAGCATACATACTTATCAACATCTAAAGTTAATAAATATCTTTTTCCCTCTGACTTTTATATTACTGTACATTTTCTTTTTTAACCCAAAATAATATTATTTTTAATTGCTTTATGCAAGAGTTATTTCCTTTAGAATTTTCTCTGTATTTACTACTTTTTTTTTTTTACTTCATCTTGCATTTTAGACATTTTATCTAGGAACACTTCTTTCTGTTGAAGTATATACTTTGGAATTTCCTTTGGTGAGGATCTTCTAGAGGCAAACTCTCAATTTTTGTTTGGCTGACAAATGTCATTATTTTACATTAATTTATGAAATAAATTTTATGGAGTAGGTAATTTAAGATCGGAAATTATTTTATTTCAGTACATTGAAAATGTCATCTCCTTATTTCCATTGTTGTTGTTGAGAGATAAACTTTTATTGCTTTAAAGTAGTGAATTTTTTCACTAACTGCTTTTGAATTTTCTCTTTGACTTTGCAGAATTTTATTGGGAATGGTTTACTTTTTATTTACTTTGCTTATATTAGTGTAGTGGTTAAGAACACAGACTCTGAAGCCAAATTACCTGGGTTGGAATCCCAGCTCTCACTTAATAATTTTGTGATCTTCAGTAGATTGGTTACCTTTTCTGTATCATAGTTATCCTTTTCTGTAACTGGAGATAATTGGGTAAATGCCTAACCTCAATAAATAGTAGTTGTCATTTATTATTATCTGAAACTATTTTAAAATTATTATGCTGTCTTAAAGGTTAATAACTTCAAATATACATGTAATATACTTGTTAAACATTATTGAAAAGCTTCTTTTAAAGTTTAGCAACAATATCTTCTTATAGATACTTTAGCTGCCAACATTGTATAGAAAAGAGAGTAAACTGCCTTAAAACAAAATTAAAGTACATAGGATATAAGGAAAAAAAAAACCTTAGTTTGCCTTTAAGTGCCCTTCATAAATTTATATCACACATATCACTCCTTGTTTTAATGTTCATTATTTTTATTTTTATCTAACTCTGCATCTTTACCTTTATCCACATCTATGTCCATATGCATGGAAAGACATTTGCACTAGGGCTTATTGGGGAGCAGGTGGAGATGGGGGCAAGTATTTAGAATCAGTTTAATATCAATCCCTGAACAATTGGAGAAAGAACAGTGATTCACATTCTAGGAGAATCTCGATGAGAGGTCAAGCTTTTAAAAATGGAACAGTTGGTCACTACAGCCATTTGCAGAGGGACCTTCCACCATAGCATTCCTTTGATTGCTGCTCTCTCTAAGAAGAGCCCCAGGCTTTTCCCCATTAAGCAGTTGACATATAGTTTTGCCCTGTTCAGCATTTCATTTACTTTTTGCCTCCTGCATTGGCCTACTCTTGCATTTTCCAGCTCTTGAGTGCTGTCCCCTCTAGCTGTGCCTCTGGTAGCTTCTGCTGCTCCTTGACCCATGTGACCCTGTCAGATTGTGAAACCTCCTGGGCCTACCTTTCTTTACTCTTGAACACACTTCTCCCATTGGCCTCTTCATTCTGCCTCCTTAGGCTAGCAACCTGCTGCTAACTCTTGGTCAATTATATCTCTTTCTACTCATACAAAAAAAAGGAACTTTAACATATCACTCCCCAGGAACATTTAAACCTATTTCTCACGTTATGAAAGTATACTCTTTCCCACACTTTCCACGTCAAATCCTTGCCAGATATTCCATATACTTTTAAAAATAATAAATCTGCATAGTCTCTTTTGGGGAATTTAGTAATGTAGTTTTCAATATCTGGATCCAAGAATACTAATTGACCATGGAGTCGATATTGTGTGGGTCTTGAGTCATATTTTTTTAAATAAATTAAGAGAAAAAACATTTTCTGAAATTTGTTTCATGATGTTGTTAAAAACAAAATTTCTCAGATTGATTGATCTTCAGCATATGTCAGAATTTATTTACTTGCTGGCAAGAGAAACAACCAAGTGATAAAAGAGTATATTCATTCAGGGAGGGTATGGATGCAGAAGGATTACATATTTGGGAAATAGAATGTTTACCGAAGGAGCTAATTTTAAAAGATGAGGAAGAAAGTATAAACTATAAAGTTCATTTTGCAAGCTCATAGAAATATCACATCCATATCAGTCTGAGACAGAGTGATCTGAGAAGTTAATGCTATGACTCTATCTGTGGCTGATAATTAGAGTAACAGGGTTTTATCCATCAACAATTGTGTCTGATAATGAACATGGAAGCATGAACTGGTGTGAGGCAGAGATTAGAAGGAGAATACCAGCTAACTAATTCTGATTTAAACAGGTTGCTAGAGTGGTTTTCTTATGCCACAAGCAAAGCCACAAGAACACACAGTTTTCCCATTTCTTAGTTTGGGGGCATTTTCCCCCTTTTTGGTAATAAATATTGGGTCATGATGAAAGATGTAGTTGCTCACATAAATTGCAGTAAAAAAATTGGGAAACACTGACTTGGATGGACTAGATCTCCTCAGACCTAAGATTGTATCTTTTCAGAAGATAACACTGAAATTTGTTTGATGATTTAAATATTGGTGTATTTGAACATTTATCTACTCATTATCTTAGTGTAGAGTTTCATGTTGAATAACTGGCTAAAGCTCATGAAACTACAAGATAATAGCAATAGTGAATGTAGAGCTTAGTATATTCTAGACGCTTTGCTTATATTAATTTCACAACAACTCTGTGAGGTGGGTACTATCATCAGCCCCACTTTACAGAAGT